CTGTTGTAAGGCAGGTCCTCACCAGATATCACCGGCAACAACGTTGCCTATGGGCACAAACCCACCGTCACTGGACCAGACAGGTCTGGCAAAAAGTGCTCTTCACTGACGAGTCACGGTTTTGTCTTACCAGGGGTGATGGTCAGATTCGCGTTTATCGTCGAAGGAATGAGCGTTATACCGAGGCCTGTACTCTGGAGCGGGATCGATTTGGAGGTGGAGGGTCCGTCATGGTCTGGGGCGGTGTGTCACCGCATCATCGGACTGAGCTTGTTGTCATTGCAGGCAATCTCAACGCTGTGCGTTACAGGGAAGACATCCTCCTCCCTCAGGTGGTACCCTTCCTGCAGGCTCATCCTGACATGACCCTCCAGCATGACAATGCCACCAGCCATACTGCTCGTTCTGTGCGTGATTTCCTGCAAGACAGGAATGTCAGAGTTCTGCAATGGCCAGCGAAGAGCCCGGATCTCAATCCCATTGAGCACGTCTGGGACCGGTTGGATCGGAGGGTGAGGGCTAGGGCCATTCCCTCCAGAAATGTCTGGGAACTTGCAGGTGCCTTGGTGGAAGAGTGGGGTAACATCTCACAGCAAGAACTGGCAAATCTGGTGCAGTCCATGAGGAGATGCACTGCAGTAATTAATGCAGCTGGTGGCCACACCAGATACTGACTGTTACTTTTGATCCCCCCCTTTGTTCAGGGACACATTACTCAATTTCTGTTAGTCACATGTCTGTGGAACTTGTTCAGTTTATGTCTCAGTTGTTGAATCTTATGTTCATACAAATATTTACACGTTAAGTTTGCTGAAAATAAACGCAGTTGACAGTGAGAGGACATTTCTTTTTTTGCTGAGTTTACATAGAGCTTGTTAATCATACATTCTGAAAAATCTAAAAGTCATTGACATGACTACAGGCACCTTATTGGATAGTTTAGTTATACAATGTATTACGTTTGAATAAATACATGAACTAATGATACAATGATTCACAAAAGTTTCACTAATGGTTAACAAAATACCTATTTATGTTTTTATTTGCAGTTTATAAATCAGTGTTCCGAAAAAACTGGTTTGAAGTTTAGTCAAGGGCAAATAAACAGCATTAAAATAGGTAACAAGTACAAGACCCTTCAAAATCAACTCACAATTCAATGTAACAATGAGGAACTATTGCATTATAACATCACCATGGAGCCAAAAGAAAAATGCCATTTAGAAATTATGAGAATAAATAAGTCTGACAGTTATAATTATAACTGGACTAAAAAGTATTCAAATACCATAAACACAGTAAACAGACGCCGTGTTCTTACCTGTCGATTATGTCTGACATGTCCATGTATGATCCAGGTGCCTGTCCTCCTGTCCATGTGTCTGTCCTGCCGGTTAGTCAGCAGAGCTCACTCACATACAGGACTGAACAGGCTAATAGGTTGTCTGACGGAGGCAGTGTGTGCGTGTCTGGTGGAACAATTGTGTGCAAGTACATTTGCATGAAAAATGTGTGTTTGATAGTGTGAGAGCACCAATGTGTTCCTGCACTTAAAGCACAGCAACCCCCCACCCTCACTAAAACCTGTGTGTGTGTGCAGGGATCATCCAGCATGCTCTTAACCTGATTTAACACTGATCTGGGGTCAGATTATCCTTACTGCTTCTGGCATGCAGCTCAATAATCAGGAGAACCAGTGACTTGATCACAACAGGGTTGTGTTCAGTAGGCACAAAACAGGAGGAATGTTGAAACAGGGCCCAGGGGTACTACCCAAACTTGCCCAATAAGAATGCTCATCTTCATTTTACATTGCAAAACATTTGGCTAAGTTGTGCACTATTGAACACAACCCTGATTTGATAGAGAGAGGAATTCAAAAATTGAGACAAGTGAAACAAGGTATTTTAACAATAAAATCTCTTCAAATGAACTGAAGCCCATCAAATCTCAGCCAATGCCAACTTAGCTGCTCCTCTCCGCAGCCACTCCAGGCAATAGCCTGTCCTACATTTATAACACCAAGTCTTAGAAAACATGCTTGATTTTTATAATACGGTACTTTTGCATTCAAACTTTATTTTGGTAAAATCATACAATAATTGCACAGCTGAGTCTTTTCCCATGCTGTGCATTAGCCTCTAAGCTAGTACAGAAAGCAAAGTCTAAGTTTAAAGAGCTCTGGGTTTTTCCTCCTCAGGGTACTGAGCAAGTGGTGGTTGTCGCCTAGTCTTCCTGTGGTCAGGCTAGTAGTTAATGTGCTGCTACTGTGGGAAACACTACTGCAGCTGAGACCTGCTCAATACTCTGAGGGAACACAATCACTAGAGGTGCCATATGCAAATGCAACAATAGAGAATAAACCACGTTTTTGTTTTTTAAAGATTGTCATATGCCAGACATTCACTGGATTTAAAAAAATATATAAATCAGGTCAAATTAGAATAAAGAGTTCTTATAAACAATGCACACAATTAGAGAATCCTGAACAGTTCTGCACCGATAGATTTAGGAAAATTTTATTTTGCTCTTTTGACAACTTTAATTCCAAACCTTGGCATGTTTGATTAATTCCATTTTTCTTTTTGCAGGCCAATTTCACCATCTAATATTTAGAGATGTCAGGGCCCGAGGCCTTGAAACGGCTGTGGATATTATCATTATTGACCGAGTCCAATATGTCTTAAACATTAAAAAGCTCACACTACCCCGAAATATATAATTTTTTTCACGCATACAGGTGACATTCAACATTCAAGTGCCAGTGTTTTTGTTACCGTCTTTTGGTCAAGTTTCTTGTAACTTTCAAAGAATCACTTTGAGGCTTACAAAAATAAATATTTCTCAAAAATGCTTAATAAATTACACAAAACTAGCAGCAAAAGTAGAATCTAGAAATCTGTGTGCAAATGGCTAAATTCCCTAACTGCTAAATCCCCTGGTCCCAAATAAATCCTGTTTAAATGTTGAGAACCCTTCCCCTTTGTAAACAAGCTGCGTTTTTTCACAATCTCCTCACACACAATATTTGGAAGCTTAAGGACACGTATTCAAGACATTTATATAAAACTCTAGATGTGCAATAAAATAACTTTTGTAAAACTTGATGGGCACAACAACAAACAAGGGCCTACACACCGAAAATCAAGTAGCACCTTTCAATCCAAGTTCTCACTGTCAGTGCATCCGCTTTTAAAGTGAATACATTTATTTTTTTAAGTTTTCAAAAGGCACAATACACTTAAGAAACGTAGTGCACTTAGAGATTCTCAAATGCCCCATCTCTCCTCCTCTCGTTGGCTCGCGTTATTTGAGAGGAAAAGCCTCGTCTGGTCGGTCAGAACCATTGCTTTATACACATCTAAAGCAGACTACCTCCCAGAGTTGACAGTATGCATGTACCATAAGGAAGGGGACAACAGTCCCCAGTCTTTGGCCACCTCCACAGCTACAGTAAAGAGGAATGGAAACCAAAGCAATGGTGGTGCACTGATAACGTGCGCCCTAACCCTTGACCTTCACCCCATAACCCCGGCGGCAACTGTCCTGCTGTCCAGTGCCTTTGCTTTCTGACTGGTTAACCCTTAGTGATGGACCTCCTACTGCTTCTGTCTCTGATAGATGAACCATGCGCCTCCAACACAGCTTGAAAAGAGAAAATGTTTGTAATTAAGTTAAGCCTGCGACTCAGTTTATTTGTCTTATATCTCCTTGACCAAAAAACAAAACACTAGCATGCGTAGAATACCGGCTCGGCGGTCAACGGTAAGACTGTTTAATGTTAACGCCGCGCCACACTGTCCCCCCCTGACGCTATAGCCGCGCCACACTGTCCCCCCCTGACGCTATCATCACCCCCCCCCCTGGTCCTTGTGCAGCCATTTCGAACTTCACTTCCAAGATGGCGGACATTTTTTGTTTTGATACATGTTTGTAGAAGAAACATTTCACTCAAAAAACACTGCCAGATTTACAATACCACGCGCGTGTGCCCGCTCTTCAAATGTAAACAAACTAAATAACACTGCCCAGTTAATGTAGCTAGCGGGAAGTAACTTACTAGCTGCCATAACATTGTCAAGTCAATTCATTCAGTGTTTCTGTTTGAATTAAACCCCAGTGTGTGTTTGTTAGCACTGATTTTAACGACTTTCCGTATTAAGAGATCACAACTGGAATGGCTTTTGGAAAGACTACCGTATCCTTAGAGGAGCCTATCCAGGATAGAGTGAGCGAAAAAATTAAAAAGTAATCGAACTCTTCGTCCCTTTAAGATTAGAATACAGTTATTAGCCACACTGAGTACGGCCCAGTGAGGTCGGACGCTACAATGATGTTAGCTGTTTGAACTCGGGTTTGAACTCGATAAAAGGCTACATGATGACCCTGCGACAATTTTGAAAGGTTCAAATGGATTCATGACTCGAGCGAGCCACAATGCCCCCAGTGTTTGCCAAGGTTTGATTAAGTACAAGCTTGTTTTTTTTCCTTCTATGCTTCTTTTTTCACCAAAAAAATAAAATACAATTTAGAGCTCTTGGCCACATTCATTTGGTGAAATGACAACAGAATTAGTCCTGTCTAAATTCAAAAGGCACAGTACATTAACATACAAATGATCCTCAGGTTATTCTTTTAGTTTCTTATTTTTGTTTATACAAAGAAAAAAGGAGTTGCTGTTTTGAACAACAAAAGTCTGAGTTGCTATATCAGACCATACATGTCAGCATCCTTACATGCGCACTGTTCTTTTTATCTTAAAAGTGTGCAAATCTCTGCTCTTCTCCAGTGGATTGGCACCACGCTGGTTATATCTTCGCGTTGCGTCGTTCTCCATGTGAGAGAAGCGAAGGGGCAGAGAATCTTGATGTGTGTAATGTACTGTGTGTCAGTGAAACTACACAGGGTTGAGTGAGCGGGGGTATTTTAGTCTGGCGTAGTCAACATGTGGTTTCTGTGAAGGGATCGGTTTGGTTGGCGTGGCAACCGGGTTTCTATGACTAGTTGCCCCACCAGTCGGTTCCACTACCGGAGTGACTGTAGTTGCCACCATAGCCGGCGTCGTTGCCGCCATAGGAGTTCCCGCCTCCAAAGCCACCTGGGAAGGACAGAGGTCGAGGGTCAGTAGATTCTTATGATAGATTCATTCAGTAATTCACATACAGCTATAAAAACATGAATTCCAAATGATCATGGATAAAAACTAAGAGGACATTTGGAAAGGCACTTCAAACGGTTCTGAACAGGGCCTAGCGCTTACCTCCACCAAAGCCGCCACGGCTTCCTCCTCCGTAACCCCCAGTGCGTGGGCCACCGCGCCCACCACCACCGCCGAAGCCGCCGCCGCCGGGTGTCTGACGGTAGTCCCTGGCACCGAATCCACCAGAGGAGAATCTAGCGGAGAGAGAGAACAAAAGTTTATACACACAGAACATGTAGCTATTCTCCTTTCTTGAGAATCTCCTTTCAGATCTAAAATCATGGATGGTCCATTAATGTCCCTGAAAAAGTTTGTGTGTGTGCACCTCTTGGAGCGTCCGCGTCCCGTGTTGCCCTTGTGCTGGTTCTCATAACCCAGGCTCTCCAGCCAGGACGGTACCTCCTGCTTGGCCTCCACCAGGATGTCCAGCAGGTCTTTGGTGATGTTGCTGTTCTTGTCGTTGAAGAACGATGTGGCCAGACCTACACACGCAGACAGGTCTCAATACTCTACACACACAGATCATGCAGTGCAACTCTCCAGGGCATGCGGTGGAATGAGCAATTTCACTTCTTGAAAGACTTATGGCTTCTTAAAAACACAATTCATGCAGTGTGTGATCTTATGTAATATAATAGTGTAGTTTTACTGTTTATCCGGAGTTATTCTCGTTTCTACAACTTGTAGCTTAGTCTGTTCGGGCTAGCTACCATCCCAGTCGTATCAGAAGTGACTCACAGAGGCGCATGGCCAACACACACACACAACACCGTTATTCACTGGCACCAGTGTGGTAATGTACTGTCCAACACAACGGGACAATCTACCGTTGTGCAGAGCTATGCAAGGGGAGCACACCATTCTCATTATACAACCAACCGAATGTCATTGACAACAGAACCTGATACACAAGGTGAGTGACACACATGTGACCTAGCTATCACTATCAATATGTGAATCCAAGACTAATTTGGTGATTTACCTGTTTAGTCTGGGTCATGTTAATTATGCAGCAATGTTTCCCCCTCAAACACTAGTCCCACTCACCCAGGTTCCCCACGCGGCCTGTACGACCGATACGGTGGACATACTCCTCTATGTCGCTGGGCAGGTCAAAGTTGATGACGTGCTTGACGTTAGAGATGTCCAGACCCCGCGCAGCCACCTGGGGGTGAAGACAGAGGGAAATATAATGCAACCAGCAATGGGGAAAACCTTTCAGGTGGTGATCGACGTTACGGATGTAATAGCTTCAATACAAATCCTGATACGTTTTGATGCGAGTAGGATAAAAAGGGGGAAATGACATCACTATGTCTGTTGACAGAGGGTGTGTGTGTGTTGCCGTACTGCGGTGGCCACCAGAATGGGGCAGCGACCAGAGCGGAACTGGTTCAGCGCCTCCTCTCGGTCTCTCTGGGAGCGATCACCGTGGATACTGGTGCAGGCGTAGCCCTCGCGATACAGAAAGTCCTCCAGGGCGTCCGCTCCCTTCTTGGTCTCCACAAACACCAACGTCAGAGACTCCTTACCTAGACAGAGTGCGGAAGAGATGGAGTGAGAGTGTGATCGAAAGAGGAAAATAAAAAAATAAAATGTTGAGTACTTAGCTTACAGGCTATGAGCAGGATAAAGACTTCAGACAATGAGAGGGGCGATGGGAGCAGGAAATAAAAATGGTGCTGCGCATACAGAGCAGGTGCTGGTAGGGTGACCACATGTCCCACATGGTGCAGGACAGTCCCGCATTTTGGCCCTTTGCAAGAGACTTGTTGGAATGTCTGACAGTCACAGCACTTGTTACAAGATATACATCATAAGGATGTGGTACTGGTGATGTTAAACACTTCTCCAATTGTTGTTGAGGTCTGATATTCAGCGCAGCACAAGATGGGATGTAGGCCTACGTTATATCTTCAACCAATCACATTTGTCAAATCCTTTAGTGCTAAATTCCAGCTAAACTTTGAGTGGACAGTTTACTTACAAAAAGAATGCTAACAAAGAGCTACAAAAGAAAGTAGGCCTAAATAGCCGTATTAAACTGAAAGGTAATTGTCAAACTTTGAGGCTCTCCATTCTCATTACTTGCTTATTCAGCATACACTACATGGCCAAAAGTATGTGGACACCTGCTCGTCAAACCTCTCACCCCAAAATCATGGGCATAAATATAGAGTTGGTCCCTCCTTTGCTGCTATAACAGCCTCCACTCTTCTGGGAAGGCTTTCCACTAGATGTTGGATATTTTGCTGCGGGGACTTGCTTCCATTCAGCCACAAAACCATTAGTGAGGTCGGGCACTGATGTTGGGCGATTAGGCCTAGCTCGCAGTGGGTCGTTCCAAAGGTGTTCAATGGGGTTGAGGTCAGGGCTCTCTGTGCAGGTCAGTCAAGTTCTTCCACACCAATCTCGACAAACCATTTCTGTATGGACCTCGCTTTGTGCACAGGGGCATTGTCATGCTGAAACAGGAAAGGGCCTTCCCCAAACTGTTGCCAAGCCCAAACCATGAAAAACAGCCCCAGACCATTATTCCTCCTCTACCTAACTTCACAGTTGGCACTATGCATTGGGGCAGGTAGCGTTCTCCTGGCATCCGCCAAACCCAGATTTGTCCGTCGGACTGCCAGACCCAGATTTGTCCGTCGGACTCCAGAGAACGCGATTCCACTGCTCCAGAGTCCAACGGTGGCAAGCTTCACCATTGTCGCCACTCCAGCCGATGCTAGGCATTGCTCATAGTGATCTTAGGCTTGTGTGCGGCTGCTCGGCCATGGAAACCCATTTCATGAAGCTCCCAACGAACAGTTATTGTGCTGATGTTGCTTCCAGAGGCAGTTTAGAACTCGGTAGTGAGGACAGACGATTTTTACGCCCTACGCACTCGGCGGTCCCGTTCTGTGAGCTTGTATGGCCTACCACTTCAGGGCTGAGCAGTTGCCACGTTGAAAGTCACTGAGCTCTTCAGTACGGACCATTCTACTGACAATGTTTGTCTATGGAGATTGCATGGCTGTGTGCTCGATTTTATACACCTGGTGTAGCTGAAATAGCCGAATACACCAATTTGAAGGGGGTGTCCAAATACTTTTGGCCATGTAGTGTATTTGCTGCTACTTCACTCAATTTATTTTTAGGTTGACGGCAAAACGGATGTCTTTAACGAGAACACGACGGTAAATGCCGTAGAGCCTGGCGGTGAATGCCACGGTAGATGGGACTTGCCGCCGAAGTTCAAATATTTCAACTTTAGCCGTAGCATTGTTTTCTACCGGATGTTGATTTGCATTGTTTGTTTACTGAAACCACCACAACAACGCATACCATCATGCTGGCTTTTGCAGTCACCATATTTTTTACTTTCTTGTCCCGCTATGCCAACTGGTATGACGGTTTTTGCATCCCTCGTCTAAACGCAGCATAACTGTTTTACATTCCGAGACCAACCAGAAATGTTTCCTTGGCCAAATAGTGCCAGATTTTCATAAAAAACAGCCACAGTCTCTTTCCGCATTACCACACAAGAGTAGGCGCTTCAATTAGCTTGTTCGGTGCAGCGGAAGGCGGATGTGTGTGTCGTGGGTAATTTTTATTTTATTAATGTAGGCTACAGTCCCGCAAAATCATCCTGTTGTCCCGCATTTGGGTATTTTAAACGTGGTCACCCTATAAAATCACTGGTGGTGTGACCGACCTCATCACCATGGAGAAAAGAAACAAATGGCAACTGAAAAATGGAAACCAGGGGAGCAAAAGCAGCTTTGCTTTCACTGACAAATTATTAAGTTCAACTGTTTTGCACAGTTTACAGAGTTATGCCAAATGTCCTCATATCAGAATTAGCCAACTGTCCCATAACTCAAAATGTCCTCACAGCCATTTGGAATGGTTCTAGCAAATGAGTAGTCTTAATGTTTTGTCTACAGTGGACCAACACTGCATTAATAGCTATCGGAGCACACGCTAAATGGTGAAACTGGATGGAGGGGTGGATAGGGGGCATGGTTGACATTCTCTGATCACCCTACGCCTGTTTCTACATTTACATTTTTAATTTTAGTCATTTAGCAGACGCTCTTATCCAGAGCGACTTACAGCGGCAGCATTCAGTAACAGGTAGGCAGGTGGGCCGAGTTTGGGTATGGTTGGCATGGCAACAATGAGCGATGAAGAGGCCAGGACCAGGTTTGTGTGTCTTGAAAATGCATCCTGCCTTCCTTGGAATAATTGCTGATTTGACATGTTAGGATAGTTGAAGGCTAGAAGCATATGGCAAAAACATTCACCTATCCAGTCATAATATCAGTGCTAACCTCACAGAAGAAAGGAGTGTTTTCTAAATATTCAAACATGGCTTGGATATCAACATGCAGGTCTACCGTTTCCTAAACTCGGTCCTCGGGACCCCAAGGGGTGCATGTTTTGTTCTTTGCCCTAGCACTACACAGCTGATTCAAATAACCAACTAATCATCAAGCTTTGATTATTTGAATCAGCTGTTCCTAAAATGTTAAACTTCATATTCATCATGTTTTGCAGTAAAAAAGATAAGTGTTTCCAATGACAACCAACTGGTTAAACACCGATGATGTCATCGGAAACTAATCTTTTCCACAAAACATAGAAACACACCATTTTCACATATGCTGATGGTGGAGATGAATATCAAGTGGGAAAAAAGGGTGCCATTTCCCTTTAACGTAGATGGACTAAACCTACTTTTATAGGAGACGCAGCTCCTTTTGACAGTTGACTAACAGTGTAGCTCAGTTTCCAAAGGCAACAGCCCAACGTGTCCTTAATATATCCCTACGTGTGTGTAACACCCAGACAGTAACACCAATCCAAAAACACCAAAGCTGTGCTCCAATTAACAGCCTCCTTTGAGGATGGTAAACATTACTGCTGGTTCTAATGACAGGGTTGGCCAACCCTGGTCCTGGAGGGCTGTAATGGTGTCATTTAGACTAAAATAGTGTCTTAGTGTCGGGATGGAACAAAAGCCTGCATCCCACAGCTCTCCAGGCCTGGAGTTGCCCACCCTGACCTAAGGGTAGGATTGGCCCTGAGACTGCAAGCATTATGTCTGGCCCTAAAGCTCTTTTGAGAAATTCTGAAAGGAGAAAGAGGGCTGTGAGCCAGGGGAGGGAAGAGGATGGAGTGGGATGTGATGTTTGGGAGGGTCAGACTGAGGGTTATAGTACCATAATAATACTTACCGGGTGTCACTGCAGCCTCCTGAACATCAGGAGCATCACTGGGGATGACTAAATAAAACCAAACCGCCCAGTAAAGTAAACCAAAGGAAGTGTGGAGTAACTTAACAGTTCTTAAATATGTAATAACTAGCACTTTCCCCATCAACCACCCTCCATTTCACCCAGGGGAGAATGGTGAAGGTTCATCATGCCAACTAGTTTAGGAGAACCGTGTCCATGGGGATGTTAATTTACTTTGTCAAACAGACTAACAGATGGCTGGGGGTGGGGGCAAGGGAAAAGGCTAACAAATGTACCCTTTTAGATAAACACCAGTTGTCATCAATTAGTTTCAATACATCTGTGACTGAACCAATGATTTATATATACACATTAGTTGACTGATACGGGGCGCTGTGTTGAAGACACCGTGCCGCCATCTTGGCACTCCCCCAGCATTGTAAAAAATATTTTGGAAGCTATAGAAATGCATTTCTTAATGTCTACATTTGTTCTTGCCACATTTGTGCTATGACTACACACTTTAAATTATATTTTCAGACAAAATATATAAACACGTTACTCTGATTACTACAACACAAAATACATGTAACTGTCATTGAATCATTTAATTGAAATACTGTAGAATTCCATTCATTCCTATGGAGGACTACTCTTACTGGGGAGTGCCAATATGGCTGGCCGGTGGCTTCAAAGCCTCTCAATGACCAACACATAGCACCAGCAATCCAGGGTTTATATACATCATTGGACTGAACGTTATACCTGTGTGAATTATGGAGTTTGGTGTGAGAACGTGACGTGTGTAAAGGGTTTGAGGGTTATGGGGTAGAGTTGTCTTCGTTGGTTCGTGTGTGTGTGTTCCTTACCTGTAGCGTTGAGCAGGTCCAGGAGGAAGGACCTCTTGTCGCCGTCCTCCACCCACACCACCTTCTGGGTGATGTTTTCTGAGGTGGAGCCCACGCGGCCCACGGCCAGGAAGATATAGTCCTCCAGGAAATCACGCGCCAGCATCTATACCCAGTCAGAAACACACACATTTTACATTTACATTTTAGTCATTTAGCAGATGCTCTTATCCAGAGCGACTTACAGTTAGTGAGTGCATATATTTTTCATACTGGCCTCCTGTGGGAATTGAACCCACAACACTGGCGTTGCAAGTGCCATGCTCTACCAACTGAGCTACAGGAGGCCAGTCACCCCCAGTCAGAAACACACCCCCCCCCCCCTCCCCCCCACCCAGTCAGAAACACACCCCCCCCCCCCTCCCCCCCACCCAGTCAGAAACACCCCCCTCCCCCCCACCCAGTCAGAAACACCCCACTCCCCCCCACCCAGTCAGAAACACACACACACCCCCCCCAGTCAGAAACACCCCCCTCCCCCCCACCCAGTCAGAAACACACACCCCCCCCCCGCCCCCCCCCCCAGTCAGAAACACCCCCCCCCCCCCCCAGAGTGTGTTACTCAAGCTTGCATTACTACTGGTACGTGTGTACCTGGATCTCCTTGGGGAAGGTAGCGCTGAACATCATGGTCTGACGGATGCCTTTAGGGGGCATGGTGTCCTGCTCCACGATGCGTCTGATCTGGGGCTCAAAACCCATGTCCAACATCCTGTCAGCCTCATCCAACACCAGGTAGCTGACAGGGATGACAGAAACGGCTCACTTAGCACTCTGGTCACTTACTTATGTTAGTGTTAGACAAAGCATTAGCCAACTCATTATCATTAGCACTAGCCAACTCGTTAGCAATAGTTAACTTGTTAGCTTTAGCCAACTCTTCAGCGTTAGCCAATTCGTTAGTGTTATCGTCTGCCCCACTCACTTGCAGTAGTCGAGGCCGATCTTGCCCCTCTCCATCATGTCCACCAGGCGACCGGGTGTGGCCACCAGAAGGTGGCAGCCTCGCTCCAGGTCTCTGATCTGCTGGCCGATGTCAGCTCCTCCGTACACCACACAGGGACGCACGCGGGAGCGGTACGCAAACTACAGGGATAAGAGATGCACAGGACAGTTCAGAACACTAGTATAGCCATAATTCAGTATTAACCATCACCCTTTCATTGTCTATGGAGTATCGTTCTATAACAGATGTTACCGAGATTAACATCTGACTGTAGAACACACTCATGGTAACTTGATGCGCATTCATTTCGATAAGATATCACATTGTACCAGTGATTGAGGATAGAACCAGAAGACGAGAAACATTCTGGCACCGAAGACATAGCACTGGGAATTTTGTCCCTCCATAACACACGAGTACAGGGAAAGTGTGCGCATGCCAAGAAAATAGGTAGATATTTTCTTTATCTAACGGCAATCATTCATCAACCTGTTTGGAATCAGTAACCTTCAGGTCACCAACCAGTTCATCTTCCTTAGCCACCACAAGGCTACTCTACTATACTGGTGCCACTACAAGATCATTCATGTTCTGTCCATCGTGTATGGGTTTGTCTGTGGGTGGAGTTTTAGCCCATACCTTTCTGGACTCTTCGTAGATCTGCAGGGCCAGTTCTCTGGTGGGAGCCAGGACCAGAGAGAGAGGATACTGCTTACGGCGCCCATATTTACCGCTGTCCTGTGGAGGGAAGCAACAAGTGTTGGTCAACCTCAGCACACCGAATAAATAAATAGCACACATGCAAGTCGGGGGGGGGGGGCAATTTAATTGCGTTCACAGAAAAGCAGCGTTTCAGATTGATGGGAAAACTCAACATTGCAGTCTGCTCGTGTGTGTGAGTGTACCTGTCCGTTCTTGCCAGCCGCCGCAGCGTCTCCAGGCCCCTGTGTGTAGATCTGGCTCAGCACTGGCACCAGGAAGGCTGCAGTCTTACCAGAGCCTGAGGAGAGGAACATTCAGTCATTTACTCAATAAAATAATCATTCATTTCTGCTGGTCTAAAAGATAGCAAGCGATAGAAAGAAAATCCCAAAACATGTTTTAAATTCATAGTATATTTAGCTCAATTTGTAATGCAAGAGAATCAAATTAAAGACACTAAAACAGGCTAAATTCCATTTGATCCTCTAGCGAGCCCTTCCGCTACCATCTACCCCTTTAAAGTAAAGTTTCATTCATTCATTCTCTTACCAGTCTGAGCACAGGCCATGAGGTCCCTCTTGGACTTGATGACCGGGATAGCGTATTTCTGGACGGGGGTGGGCCGCGTGTAGTGGGTTAGGGCAATGTTGCTCATGATGATCTCACCCATGTCCACATCATGAAACTGAAATACCAAAACACAGGCGCTGTTAGACTTCTACTCTGTTTACTTTTGTCAATAAGAGTCACTTGAAAGTGTTCCATATACAGGGTTGCCCTTGATCTACATGACAATTGTTGACGTAAAACCAGTGATGTAAGTGACTTACACTATCGATGTGTGGCGGGCAGTTGGATCCAGTGGCCTCCACAGGAATGTCGTCGTATTTCTCAAAGTTAATACCCGTGTTCCCGCTTGAGAACAGCTCTCTGGATGAGCGGAAAAAGATTGGGTTAGAGGACATCACATTAGACAACACCTAACAGGACTCTTTAAAAAGTCATCAAAAATTGCTGAACACTCCTATTGCACACTCCCAGCTGTAAGAGTGAGTCTAAGATCAATGTGGTTGAGTATGCTTATATAAACGGCACACTTAAAGTTGTAGAACTCCTAGACACACAGGTTTGGCCAATGTAACAGTTGAGAGGAGAAGAGTGAGACTCACGCTTCCAGTCGTTCGTTGGCGGGGCTGGGTTTGGACCAGTCCTCATCGTCCCTGGAGTCTTCCTGCCAGCGGTTGTTGCCTCCACCGCCATAACCTCCACGCTGATAACTACACACAGATACACTGCTCAACACACTTCAATCATCAGCTGTCTGAAACACACACACACACACACACACCTACTTGTATGGCTAAATACATTCCGCTGAGTGGTACTTACCCTCCTCTGCCCCCTGATGATCCACGGTCGCTGTAGAAGGAAGACTTGCCCCTCCCTCCAAAGCTGTTATAGGCCGCGTCTTGTCTGGGAGTACCTCCCCAGCCTACACCATCTTGTCCACCACCAAACCCTGGCGAGGGAGAGTGGATAGCTCAGCGAGTAACAGAGGCTACATTCCTCATCCGTCTCGCATGCAGGAATGGTCTACCACCATTACAATATTGCTTGGGAAGCAAACAGTCATTTTGGTAAATGGATTTGATTGATTGGATCGAATGATTGGAGTATAGGTTAGACAATCTGCAGGGACGTTTTTTTTCTGTACCTTTCCAGTATTGTCTGTGTATTTTATCAATAATACGTATAGCTATACGTTGTAACTAAAGCAGTCTGATTTGTATTAAGTATTTTATTCGTACATTATTTCCATTGCTGGTGACTCAAGGAAATTCTGCCTCTGCAGATAGTCTATTATTAGTAGTCATTACTAGAATTACCGAGTAAAAATTTGTCTATATGCACAGTAGGATCTAGAGGACCAGATCTAGAGCATAATACAATACCTACTACTTGTCTCAGTCTAATAGTATTGGTAATTACTAGTATTACTGCGGAATAGATAAATACAATTTGGCACAGTAGGTTTCCCCACCTGCGATGTGCATTGGCTGATTAAACGAGGCGCCACCCATGCTGTTACCGCGGAAGCTGCCACGCCCACCTCTGTCATTTCGGGGAGGCCCGCCGCGTCCCCCGAAGCCCGCATTGCTGTTGTCATGGTAACCATTGGCAAAGCCATTGCTGCGTCCGCCGTCCCATCCTCCTGGAGAGTCTTCATGGACAGGGTGAGGGGAATGAAAGGAAGAGAGGGATGATGAGACGGAGGTAGAGAAAGTGTACTATGGGGTTGTCATGTTATCAGAGACTACGAAGGGGATAGATTGGACTCCCAGGCCCACAGACAAAGACTCCCTTCAATTTTTACAAAATCAGTTCCCATCACCCTCCTTTCAATGGAAAATTAAACATTGGATTTGGCAAAGCTAGTGACTATTGGTCAAAGGACTTAGAAAACTCAATTTTAGAGATTCAACCTTGAAAAAAGGGAGGCCAACTTACTGAACTTGGCGGTATGAGTTCACAACAGTGAACATCTCTGCAAAATGCAGAGTACCTACACTTCAAAAGAATCCTACAATAACCCATTTTCCATATTTTCCCAAATACAAGGTCAGGCCCCTGTCTGAGGTGGGGACATTTACCACAGCGATCTGCCCAGCTCTGCATGCTGGCTGTCTCATCTTTCCCATCGGTGGCAACACCATTATCAGTGTGGGCTTGGGAGGAGGCTGAGGAGGGCTGGTCAGAGGACCGTTTAGGGTTTCACCACTGCCAGAAGTGACAAACAGCCCAAACCCATAGGGGTTTTCTTTCACTTCAAGGTGGTAAAGCTTTAGATAAAAGGTAGCCTAGGGAGAGATTATCCTAAATATGTACACTGCTCAAAAAAATTAAGGGAACACTTAAATAACACATCCTAGATCTGAATGAAATAATCGTATTAAATACTTTTTTCTTTACATAGTTGAATGTGCTGACTACAAAATCACACAAAAATTATCGTATGTATCAACCCATGGAGGTCTGGATTTGGAGTCACCCTCAAAATTAAAGTGGAAAACCACACTACAGGCTGATCCAACTTTGATGTAATGTCCTTAAAACAAGTCAAAATTAGGCTTAGTAGTGTGTGTGGCCTCCACGTGCCTGTATGACCTCCCTACAACGCCTGGGCATGCTCCTGATGAGGTGGCGGATGGTCTCCTGAGGGATCTCCTCCCAGACCTGGACTAAAGCATCCGCCAACTCCTGGACAGTCTGTGGTGCAACGTGGCGTTGGTGGATGGAGCGAGACATGATGTCCCAGATGTGCTCAATTGGATTCAGGTCTGGGGAACGGGCGGGCCAGTCCATAGCATCAATGCCTTCCTCTTGCAGGAACTGCTGACACACTCCAGCCACATGAGGTCTAGCATTGTCTTGCATTAGGAGGAACCCAGGGCCAACCGGACCAGCATATGGTCTCACAAGGGGTCTGAGGATCTCATCTCGGTACCTAATGGCAGTCAGGCTACCTCTGGCGAGCACATGGAGGGATGTGCGGCCCCCCAAAGAAATGCCACCCCACACCATGACTGACCCACCGCCAAACCGGTCATGCTGGAGGATGTTGCAGGCAGCAGAACGTTCTCCACGGCGTCTCCAGACTCTGTCACGTGCTCAGTGTGAACCTGCTTTCATCTGTGAAAAGCACAGGGCTTTTCATTTTGCAGGGCTCTGGCAGTGCTCCTCCTGCTCCTCCTTGCACAAAGGCGGAGGTAGCAGTCCTGCTGCTGGGTTGTTGCCCTCCTACGGCCTCCTCCACGTCTCCTGATTTACTGGCCTGTCTCCTGGTAGCACCTCCATGCTCTGGACACTAAGCTGACAGACACAGCAAACCTTCTTGCCACAGCTCGCATTGATGTGCCATCCTGGATGAGCTGCACTACCTGAGCCACATGTGTGGGTTGTAGACTCCGTCTCATGCTACCACTAGAGTGAAAGCACCGCCAGCATTCAAAAGTGACCAAAACATCAGCCAGGAAGCATAGGAACTGAGAAGTGGTCTGTGGTCACCACCTGCAAAACCAGTCCTTTATTGGGGGTGTCTTGCTAATTGCCTATAATTTTTGTATTATCAATCAGTGTTGCTTCCTAAGTGGACAGTTTGATTTCACAGAAGTGTGATTGACTTGGAGTTACATTGTGTTGTTTAAGTGTTCCCTTTATTTTTTTGAGCAGTGTAGTAAGAGGCAGCTTCCACATCCACCTGTGGGTCCTCAGGGGCTCCTTCAGCGCCAGATTTCACACACACACACGGCAAACTTAATGTGGTGAATACACACACCAGCTGATGCTTCAGACCAGGCCTAGTGCTGTGGACAAACACACACTGTTCATATCCCTGTGCACTATGCAAACAGCGCTAGCCAGTAGCCACATTCTGCAGGATCAAAGATTACCATTCAGAAGCATTGCTAAGAAACTGAGTCAGCTAGTTTCAAGTTGGACAAGGGGTCCAGAAATACTTGTTAATGTAGCCTAGTCCTCTATTGACGCAAACTGTGCATTAACGCAAAGGATGCAATGACGTGTAACTCAAATTGATGCTGGCTGAATGAGCTAGATTAATAAAGACAACACTGTAGAAATTACTTGAGTTGAAGACTCCAACCGTAAGCAATATACTACATGAAAGTATAGAGTGGCTTGGCCAATGTTCAATCAGACAGTAAAATTAGCAGGTCGTCTGCTTACCCTTTATAGAGGGACTATTTCTGGACAGTAGAGTTAACACAGCAGACCAAATGAAGGTGGAAGGATACAGGAATCAATTCATAACCAATCAGGATTCAGATCAGTCACCATCTACAGCAGCACACTGCAAGCTCTGACATCACTATGCAAGGCATAATGCCAAAGACAAGCGAAGCCTTTACATCTAAGCTGCACAATTTCAGACCCCACCAAGTTACGCAGGTGTTTCCTTGGGCAATTACAGTGCCTATTGGAAGGATTCCAAGTAATGGCTTCTAGCTATTTAAGCTCCAATATGCTACATTTCCTTCATACGGGAGTCCCTGCTTTGATTCCATTCAATTTGTACACTCCTAGAATGTTCTGAAGGCAGTAAATACTACATACCAAAAGGTTAGTTTTGATACAGCTGTATTCCTACTGCAGATACACAACATAAGGATGTTAGCATTGAGCATACCGCAGCTCCCATTGGCATTAGTAATACAGCCATACTTGCGACACAGGGCAGAATCTCACAAGAAATATCAATTTCAAAAACAAACATGCACCAGAAGCAAGCTACTGCATACTAGAACACACAGCTTTGACACCAGTCTATGCCTGCATATTCTCAAGTGATACCCTATTTCCAGTAGTGGGAATTGGGTGTGATGTTTTCTATGGGGAATAGCCTACATGTCATGCAGGTACATAGGTATACCATTTCTGTCTGACCAGACCCCACTGTTGAAGTGGTAAAAGACTAGCTCCTGAGAGGCCAGTCTTGGATAACCTAAGCAGAGGTACAGGGGAAGGAGTCTATAAAAACAGATTCTCCTTCCATAAGTTGGCTGATGCAATACGAGTAGGTTGACATGACACTAATAGTTACCGGTCATACAGTCATCCCATCCAGGTGTATTAATTTTGTGTCTTTGGTGACGTTGAGGGTACTGCTTAGGAGAAACTATTAGGGACACTACATACTGTAAAGGCTTTCGAGTTACAGTACAGAACATACTGTGGGTTAGAATATGTGCAAGATTGCACATTCGGTGCATTCCAAAACAAGATTAAAAATGCAAATTGCCCAATACAGCTAGCTCATCATTGAAAGTAGCGTAGAAATTAGATGTGCTGCATTGTCAGCTAAAACAGACAAATCTAACGCATTGGCCTAGATGGCAGCTGCTGGTATCATATCCTGTTCTGTCTCAAATATAATTTTTAAGCAGCATCTCAGCAAAACCAGCAGAGAAACGCACATTACTTATGTTTGAAGCTGGGTGTCGCATTGTTTTTCAAAAGTCTAGGCCTCTTCACATTGGGTTCCATATACACAGATTCAGCTTAGGTTTGTGGAATCTGTGCACCTGGAACACCCCACATTGGTGTTTCTGGTGTGTAAAAGGCCATTTCATGCAACTAGAAATGCAGGGTGCCCTCAGCACAAAAGGAGACGGAAGGGACTTACAGAAGTTCACTGGAGGTGGCACTGAATAACCGTACTGTCTACCAGAGGAATAAGCATTTTCTGTTGTGGAATTAAAAAAAAGAAAATAATAATGTCACAAAAGTGTGAGATTAAGCTAACCCAAGACAAACTCTATAACATGATTAACAAGCTGTTCCATTGGGATATACTCTGGCTCTGACATTTAAGATTTTCCACAACTTCTCAGAGGTAAGTCAGTGCTAGCCTATTTAGCATGAGGATATTTTCTTAGAACACAGACTTGTCTTTCCCTTAAGAATATTGTGATCTGTTGGACCCAGTGGGCAGCAAGCAATTATCACAAAACTGGCAGATTTCCAAATCCAACAATCCTGGTGTGCAGGTAATTCAGAAATGGCAGAGAGAAGGTCTATGATTTATCTTTTGCATTAACTACAAGTATTTTTTTGGGACCGGTCTAGTTACCCGCCTTATGTCAGAATTGATTGTAAGAACTACTTTGAAGCAAAGTATCGTCGAGATCTCCTCTCATGGGTCTTCTCATGGGCATACAAAAAGAGCTTGTTGGTTGTCTATATAAAGCACAATGACAATGCTAGCCATCAAGACCGTCCATCCTCCAATTGGTTATATTGCGGGCATGTGATATGTCGCTGATCATTTGAAGTTCAAACTTTTTTTTTTTAACTAGTCGCCACAATTGAAAGTCTTAGGACTTGTGTATTGTATCCTCTGCAATTTTTGGTGTATGCATCTCAAGGGTTCAGACTTCTTTGACATGTGACCCATTTCTCATGGAAAAAAAAAAAAAAAAAGTTTACTTTATTTTTTATTTTGTTGGAGCTAGGACAGTCAAATTGTTTAACTGATTTGTAATAATATTTAAATCTGAAGGAATTATGGTTTGAAATGCATCAGAAAGGTATTGGGAAGTTCAGGAAAACAGGCAATTGTGTATGATCTTCTGTGTAGAAAAGATCATTGATGTTATTTTCCACCAGTCCTATCCACTCTGTTCTAAGGGATTCTGAGGGAAACAGAAGACGTGTTCCTGAGAGCCTCATCTTTCAGTGATGGGGTCATAATATTTTGTAGCTTAAACCGTTAGCTCCACATTTGTAGGAAGAAAACAGAAACCGCTCTTTTTTTATTACAACCGCGTTTAGCGGCTACAGGAGTTGACTCATGTAACCTCGGCTGTATGAACCAAGTGCAACACCCCCCCCCCCCCCCCCCAATCACAAGGTTGGACAACAAAACATTGTCTTTTGATTGACAATTGAGCAAATTAGAATTAAGCTGCTGGAAGCTTTCACTGTAGTTCAGCTCATCTGGGAGTGAGGAGTCAGTGTTGGTAGATGTGCACCAGTCAAATGCCCTGTAACATATAATAATATGCCATTTAGCAGACGCTTTTATCCAAAGCGACTTACAGTCATGTGTGCATACATTTTTACGTATGGGTGGTCCCGGGGAACGAACCCACTACCCTGGCGTTACAAGCGCCATGCTCTACCAATTGAGCTACAGAGCACCTGTCTTTTAGCAACCTCAATAACTTTCTCTAGGTCAGCAGTTCCCAGCGATATTATGAGGAAAATAATTATTTGAGCTTTTGACTGTGAGCTTGTGGTTCTCGGGAAGGAAAAGGTTGGGAAACGCAGCCTCTAATGTGCTAGTGATGTCTATTTAACAGTCTGATGGCCTTGAGATAGAAGCTGTTTTTCATTCTCTCTGTCCCAGCTTTGATGCACCTGTACTGACCTCGCCTTCTGGGTGAACAGGCAGTGGCTTGGGTGGTTGATGTCCTTGATCTTTTTGGCCTTCCTGTGACATCGGGTGCTGTAGGTGTCCTGGAGGGCGGGTAGTTTGCCCCCTTTAATGCGTTCAGCAGACCGCACCACCCTCTGGAGAGCCCTGCGGTTGCGGGCGGTGCAGTTGCCGTACCAGGTGGTGATACAGCCCGACAGGATGCTCTCAATTGTGCATCTGTAAAAGTTTGTGAGGGTTTTACGTACCAAGCCAAATTTCTTCAGCCTCCTGAGGTTGAAGAGGCTCTGTTGCGCCTTCTTCACCACACTGTCTGCGTGGGTGGACCATTTCAGTTTGTCAGGAAAGTGTACACCAAGGAACTTGAAGCTTTCCACCTTCTCCACTGCGGTCCCGTCGGTGTGGATAGGGGCATGCTCCCTCTGCTGTCTCCTGAAGTCCACGATCAGCTCCTTCGATTTGATGACGTTGAGGGAGATGTTATTTTCCTGGTACCACTCCGCCAGGGCCCTCACCTCCTCCCTGTGGGCTGTCTCATCGTTGTTGGTAATCAGGCCTACTACCGTTGTCGTCTGCCAACTTGATGATTAAGTTGGAAGCGTGCGTGGCCACGCAGTCATGGGTGAACAGGGAGTACAGGAGGGGGCTGAGCACGCACCCTTGTGGGGCTCCTGTGTTGAGGATCAGCGTAGTGGAGGTGTTGTTTCCTACCTTCACCACCTGGGGGTGGCCCGTCAGGAAGTCCAGGACCCAGTTGTATAGGGCGGGGTTCAGACCCAGGGCCTCGAGCTTTACTATGTGTTGAATGCTGAGCTATAGTCAATTAACAACATTCTTACATAGGTATTCCTCTTGTCCAGATGGGATAGGAAAGTGTGCAGTGTGATGGCGATTGCATCGTCTGTGGATCTATTGAAGTGGGTCTAGGGTGACAGGTAAGGTAGAGGTGATATGACTTGACTAGTCTCTCAAAGCACTTCATGATGACAGAGCTGAGTGCTACGGGGCGATAGTCATTTAGTTCAGTTACCTTTGCTTTCTTGGGTACAGGAACAATGGTGGCCATCTTGAAGCATGTGGGGACAGCAGACTGGGATAGGGAGAGATTGAATATGTCTGTAAAAACACCAGCCAGCTGGTCTGCGCATGCTCTGAGGATGCGGCTAGGGATTCCGTCTGGGCCGGCAGCCTTGCGGGGGTTAACATACTTAAACGTCTTACTCTCGTCGGCCACGGAGAAGGAGAGCCCACAGTAGTGGGCTGCGTCGGTGGTACTGTGTTATCCTCAAAGCGGGCGAAGGTGTTTAGCTTGTCCAGAAGCGAGACGTCGGTGACGTGGCTGGTTTTCCTTTTGTAGTCCGTGATTGTCTGTAGACCCTGCCACATACGTCTCGTGTCTGAGCCGTTGAATTGCGACTGCACTTTGTCTCTATACTGATGTTTTGCCAGTTTAATTGCCTTGCGGAGTGAGTAGCTACACTGTTTGTATTCTGCCATATTCCCAGTCACATTGCCATGGTTAATGCGGTGGTTCGCCCTTTCAGTTTTGCGCGACTGCTGCCATCTATCCACGGTTTCTGGTTAGGGTAGGTTTTAATAGTCACAGTGGGCACAACATCTCCTATACACTTCCTGATAAACTCAGTCACTGTTTCAGTGTATTCGTCAAAATTATTTTCGCAAGCTACCCAGAACATATCCCAGTCCGTGTGATCAAAACAATCTTGAAGCGTGGATTCCGACTGGTCACACCAGCGTTGAATAGTCCTTAGCACAGGTACTTCCTGTTTGAGTTTCTGCCTATAGGAAGGGAGGACTTGAGTTCCTGTATGTTCCTACAATTACACCATGAGTCGTTAATCATGAAACACACACACCTCTGCCCTTCTGCTTCCCGGAGAGATATTTATTTCTGTCTGCGCGATGAACTGAGAACCCATCTGGCTAGACCGATTTCGGCAGAATATCCCCAGAGACCCATGTTTCCGTGAAACAAAGTATGTTACAGGCCCTGATGTCTCTAGAAAGAAATCCTTGCCCTGAGCTCGTCGACTTTGTTATCCAAAGACTGAACATTAGCGAGTAGTATACTTGGAAGCGGTGGGTGGTGTGCGCGCCTCCTAAGTCGAACCAGCAGGCTGCTCCGAGTGCCTCTCCTACGCCGACAATGTTTTGGGTCAGCCGCTGGAATCAGTTCAATTGTCCTGGGGAGAGCAAACAAAGGATCTGCTTCGGGAAAGTCATATTCCGGGTCGTAATGCTGGTGAGTTACCGCCGCTCTGATATCCAGTAGTTTTTCACGGTTGTATGTAATGATACAAAACACTGAGCTAATAATGTAAAGAATACATAAAACAAAATAACGTTAAGTTTCCTAAGAGCTAGTCGCGAGGCCGCCATCTTCATCGGCACCAGGTTACACTATATACTAAATTTGACAGTCCGCAATAATCTAACGAATTCAAGGCTTATGAAATTATACCACGGCTAAATACATGTATAAGCCCTCCACAACCATAAGACCCACTAATAAATACATGCTTTTTTGCAATAATCACTGATCTGACTTTCAAGTCTATGAAAATGCACTTTGTTACAAATTTAACCAGAACCAGGCATCTGGCACATTCACTATAAGGACTAACTTCTTGTAGCAGGCATTATAGAAAATAACAGGTCTCAAGCACAAGCCCACATGCTAGTGAGTAACCAGCTAATCTTTATATTTCAAGTTCAGCTAACTTGGATCGACTTGCTAGATAACGAGGTAGAACAGTTATGTGTTATGAACACACTTCTGTCCATCTCCAACTGTTTGAACAGCATGCTAGCCTGTCCAATTTGTTCAAATGTTGAAATCAAGTGGCCTACCTTATTTTGCCAATAATTTAAATAAAATTGTGTTTTATGCTTACTACACATTTATAAAAACAGACAAGACAACTAGTATAAAATTTCTGCTCAGTATCAGACTAATTCTGTGCTTCAGTTGCACTTCTCCACTCTCATTCTATCAGCAGACAGCGCTCTGACTGGATGTGTAGCTACATTTATTTTAGTTGTGTAGCCTACTTTTCTCTGGTCAAACGCAAGATTAACTTAAAAAACTGGAAATGTAGCTGGCTTCTTTCTATGACAAACAGAAATATTGTTTTAGCAAAGACCTTGCTTTTTAACTGCATTGAATATTAAAATGGAGAACATGGGAGATTTTTTTAGACAACCCTGAATCCCAATTCTGCACTTGTACACCCCTCCCCACCCATTTAAAATGAATGGAATGGTATAAGGTAGTTTCCACTTTTCCTTTTAAATCCATGAAGGGAAGTGACCAAGTGCACAAGGGTAGGCCTATAGAATTGGGACATGGTAACAATCGTCAGAAGATCTCGCCCAGTGTGAGTCTGTACTGTAACCCATAACTCTGGTAATACAAGTGAGCGCTGATGTCTTGTATGTGATTTACTGGGTGTCAAAGACAACACTTACCGTTTTTGGAAACCTCTTTGTTCCTCAAGTGAGGTGGAATGTAACGCCCTAGGAACAGTGGAAAATGTTAGGACTATCCGTTTTCACGTTGAGAAACAAATTGTATGGTAAAGTCATCAATGAAAATCGCCACAATGAGCTACACTGAATGTTAATTCTTGTGCTGGAAAATTTGAAAAAAGTCACCTAGTTAGAAAAATAAATATGAACTTCTCGGACAAATAGTCACAACAAGCCACCTCTACATGTTAACCCCCTAGCAAATTGTTAAAATTGCTCTGGGAAAGAGGATTTGCCAAATTACTAAACAAATGTATTATGGCACCTTGTATGCTATTAGTAAATAATTACAGTATCTAAGAGATCATTCTGCTATGAACATCTGTGCTTTATAACATTTGAGATAAAATTATGTTTATGTGAATACTTACTGCCGGTGCCTCCTCTCTGTCCGTCAGAGTTCAAGTCTAGACCAGCAAGCTGAAAACACATAAAAATACTGTTGAGTGCATCGTGTGATTTTACCACAAGCATGGTCAATTACAATCAAGGGGTGAATTAATACTTCCAAATCTGATGGAGCGAAGTGCCCCAAAAAAAAGTCTGACGCTTGGCATTCAGGACAAATACTTCAATCTTGGTTTCATCAGACCAGAGCATCTTGTTTCTCATGGTCTGATTCCTTTAGGTGCCTTTTGGCAAACTCCAAGCAGGCTGTCATGTGGCTTTTACTGAGGAGTGGCTTCCGTCTGGCCACTCTACCATAAAGGCCTGATTGGTGGAGTGCTGCAGAGATGGTTTTCCTTCTGGAAGGTTATCCCATCTCCACAGAGGACCTCTGGAGCTCTGTCAGAGTGCCCATTGGGTTCTTGGTCACCTCCCTGACCAAGGCCCTTCTCCCCTGATTGCTCGGTTTGGCTGGGCGGCCAGCTCAAGGAAGAGTCTTGGTGGTTCCAAACTTCTTCCATTTAAGAATGATAGAGGCCACTGTGTTCTTGGGGACCTTCAATGCGGCAGACTTTTTTTATACCCTTTCCCAGATCTGTGCCTCAACACAATCCTGTCTCGGAGCTCTACGGACAATTCCTTCAACCTCATGGCTTGGTTTATGCTCTGACATGCACTGTCAACTGTGGGCCCTTATATAGACATGTATGTGCCTTTCCAAAACATGTCCAATCAATTGAATTTACCACAGGTGGCCTCCAATCAAGTTATAGAAACATCTCAAGGAGGATCAATGGAAACAGGATGCACCTGAGCTCAATTTCGTGTCTCATAGCAAAGAGTCTGAATACCTATGTAAATAAGGTATGTTGTGTATTTTTTTTATGAATTTGCGAAAATTTCTAAAAACCTGTTTTCGCTTTGTCACTATGGGGTATTGTGTGTAGATTGATGTCGGTCCCCACCAGACACCTTCATGACACGCAGGTTAAAATACCAAAACCAACTATATTAGTTTGGGGACAGGTAAAAAAAAAAAAAAGAACATGAAACACGCATGGACATTTAGCTAGCTTGCTGTTGCTAGCTAATTTGTCCTGGGAGATAAACATTTTCAGATCAAGCATAAATTGAGAGAATGCCAAGAGTGTGCAAAGCTGTCATCAATGCAAAGGGTGGCTACTTTGAAGAATATCAAATATATTTAGATTTGTTTAACACTTTGTTGGTTACTACATGACTCCATACGTGTTATATCATAGTTTTGATGTCTTCACTATTATTCTACAATGTAGAAAATAGTAAAAAAAGAAAAGAAAAACCCTTGAATGAGTAGGTGTCCAAACTTTTGACTGATACTGTATACATTTGTTACTGCTCGACTAAAACAACCTGTCGACCAACAGCCTAACGACCAAAAAAATAGACTAATTGGGGTCAGCCCTACTCCTCGTTCATCTTTCTTCTTCTGTGGATTTTATTGGTGGTTGGCAACCAACTACATGCATTAGCAAGTTATATTTTAGCACCTACCTACACAGACGCACACAACAGGTTTGGTCAGCCTGTTACATGCCGACCAGACTGCCCACTTTGCGTGCGCTGCAAAATAAATGTACACATACACATTAGTCAATAATGTCATCCAAACTGCTCGTGAGCATCTGCGTAGCCAAGTGCTAAAATAGAAATTGGTTCTATTTTAGATGCTTGAGGCACTGCAAGTCCCGCCTCTCCCATTTCCTCATTGCTTTTTAGGAGCATAACATGAGTGATTGAAAGATGAACTAGGTACAGTCCAGTTGGTGGCAGTAATGCACCTTAAAGTTAGTTCCAACCGCCATATAAAGTCCACAGAAGAATGAACAAGGAGAAAAACGAACTAGGTTTCCCCTTTTTATCTGTGGATTAATTGTCAGAGTAGAGAACACATGATTTTGTATGACCCAACATGGGTCAAAATTCTACAAAGATCCAGCTAAAAAAGGACCATGTGCATTCCAAGTAAAATAACAACCCAATGTTTATTTTCCAGGACAAAATAGCTAAATTTCCATAAATGTTTCATGTGCATTTTGACCTGTCCCAAATTAATATAGTTGGTTCACAGTTGGTTTTGGTATTTTAACCTGCTTGTCATGAATGTGTCTGGTGGGGATAGACAAAATCAACACATGCACACATGACACTATCGCTTTGAACACACCGACTGTCATTGCATTTTGGTACACCAGAAGTACATTCATTTCTAATGGAATGCTGCATTTGACTTGCAGCATTGTGTAGCAGAGGCAGTTGCACAATGACCCTATTTGTGTGATCAAGACTTAAAGTGTATTTTCGCAAAATGGTATGCAGCATCATCTGCAAAACATTCACCTTCTGCTACCATTTATGTCTAGCCGTTAACGCATACAGTTAGATGCATATGTTCTATAAATCCAACTTACGCACCACACAGAACGCATTGCAACTGCCTCTGCAACGTAATAATTCTGGTGTACCAAAACGCAATGTCGGTGTGATCGAGGGGTACCCCCTGACCGGTTCTGTGCATGTCTGCGTTTACTTTGTTGCACACATATCTAGATGATGCTGCATACTATTTTGCGCTATGACGCGATCGAGGCGTAACGCTTTGAACCGACTGCGTAATTGCGCAAAATAGTATGCAGCATCATCTAGATATGTGTGCAACAAAAGTCGGTGACGCAGTTGGTGTGTTCGAATCGTAGGGCCCTAGTGAATCACGTGCCACTTATCCAAGACTTATTCTGCTGTCTATATCCAAACACGATTATACCGGCGTAGTAACGTTATCTAGACCAACAACCGCATATTATAAGTTATTAAAAGAAAGTTAACTAGTTATGTTTTACATAACTAAAACCCGACATTAACTCACCAGCTAGCCAATGATAGATTGGCTTTGTAAACGCAGTCTGGAGTAGGTCACTGTACTCTTCACCTACAGTACTAGAGCGATTGTTATTTCCTGCGCCACGTTTCAAGACTCGACAGTTACTTTTATCGGCCGGAAGAATTGTATCAATCTAACCAGCTAGCTAGCTAACGTAAACTAGCAAGCTAAAGTGAGCTGAATATGAATTGCAAGCTAGGTAGTTAACTATTTTGTAGGCTAACAAGTCTTGGTTCTGTAGCTAGATAGCCAACGTTAGCTAAGGCCTAACCAAGCCTGAATAAGATTGCCGTGAGATCAACTACGCAACGACACCGGCCTGTTACGTGTAGCCAAATTGCCTGGCTAGTTACATATATTAAACATTAAAATATGTATTTTTATGACTGTCAGCTAGCTAACTTACTATGTAGTTATTGATAGCAAGTGTTCACTATCGTTGAGACAAATACATTTACTAACTACCAAGTCTTATCAAAGCTGAATATCACCATACAGCTAATTTTACCGGCGACACACCAACCACCATTTTACCAGCCACATCCACGCAGTTAACTAACATTAGCTTGGCTACGAACCACTTTAGTTTGCTAGCTTAGCATAAGCGTCGCTAGCTGACGGAACGTTATTTTAGTTGTCCTAACTCCATATTTGCAAAGTTACACTTGTATTAAATAAACGAGGTAAACACTCACCTGCTGATCTAGACCATGTGGATGATCGACGACCACATGACTCATAACTAAAGATTATAGAGATTATATATCAAGAGAAAGGATTTTCTTTGTTAGCACGCTAGCTAGTTTCTTTGTAGATCACAGAATTAGTCCTAGATTCCAGTCCGTAATATGTAGCTAACTGTATGTCCTTTCAGGCAATAAAACAAATGTATTGTGTATATAAATGTTCCTTTCTGTCAGTTTTTACGTGGTTGCAAATAAAAGTATCCACTCGAGCTGTAACCGAAACCTTCCACTGGCTTCTCCGTGGTGAAATGAAGCTAAATTACGCGCACAGGTACCGCGAGATATCACTATTTCATGACAGACATCGCGATGTTCACATTTTTGTAAATTTCCGCGCGGAAATATTAATCTACCTTATTTTTTCTCAGGTGAAGTGTGTATGATAGTAAAGTAAATAATATAGCTAATAGCAAAAAATATTATATGGTAGTAAACATATATTATGATAGGACATAATGAAAGGAGACAAGGTGAAGGAAAGGAAGCAAAACCTTGTGCCACGGCACTTTGGGTATATTTTAATAGTCTGAAATGGGCTCCTCTCCTTGTATCGTTCATCTGCAATTCAATACTGACCTGTAAGTGTTGGACAGGTTAAGCATACCTTTAGTAGGTTCCCCCCTTACCCTGCCAGGTCAGTACAGATAAGACGACAAGAGGCTATTTTCTTACATGGTCTAATGCCCTCTTCAGACCCCTCTCTCTCCTCTGCTGCTCCCTTTCTATCTATCTTCACCTCCCCTCTTCCTTCTTCCTTTCTATCTTCTAGCTCAGCGATATAAGGAAAGAAGATAAGGAAAGGATCAAGGAAGCCATTTTACAGTACTGAGACACAGCTCTGCCAGTGAGCCTGCCCAGTAGGCCACAATCCCAGTCAGTCAGTTGGCAGGGAGTTGAAGAGACCAGCTGGAGCATATGTTGAGGCAGGGCCGGATCACCGAACGAATGGGGTTAGGGGCCCGCTGGAAGTCGGGGGCCCCCAGATAGCATATGATAGAAAAATGTGTTGATTGCAGGAAATAAGCTTTAAAACTGCAACATTTTCTCTCAGCCTCATGGCAAAATTTGTAGAATAGCAGTAAATTAGCTTTAAAACTGTGTAGAAAATGTCTAGAATAGCGTTATAAAACTGTACATTTTTCTTTCTGCACCATGGCAAAATGTGTTGAAATTCAGGAAGTTAGCTGATTTCCACACAAAAAAAAGAGGCCGGTGCCCCGGGGCCCCAAATGCGGTAGTCCGGCCCTGTGTTGAGGGGATCAGGTGAAGAGGTCCTCTGTAGCTCAGCTGGTAGAGCACGGTGCTTGTAACGCCAAGGTAGTGGGTTCAATCCCCGGGACCACCCATACACAAAAATTTATGCACGCATGACTGTAAGTTGCTTTGGATAAAAGCGTCTGCTAAATGGCATATTATTATTATTATAATAGGCTGTGTGGCAGAGCTTGGCTGTGGAAGATTTGTATAATAGCAAGCCACAGACAGGGAGGGAAGCAGTAGGAGTTGGGAAGAAGAAATCCTTGGCCGTGTTCCCTTGCTCAGTCGTTGCATGCATCAACCAATGGTTGCATGCTATGTCATCGACTGTGCAGTTGCGCACCACATTGCTATACCATATGATGTGGTTAGCTGATACGTAAAATACCTATCCAGTCGTTGTAAGATTTGGCATGCATCAGCAACGTCTGAGCAGGGGAACGCAACCCTTGTCTGTCTCACAGGTCAAACCCCCAGACCAGACATTAGCCTAGCTCTTTTTGTGAATGTCAACAACCTTTGACCTGGAAGTGAACTCAGTGTTAAAAGAAAGTTCAAAAAGTGCAAAAAATTGGGAAATTGTGTACCGGTATGTGTGTAGATATTCATATTTTCTGGGGAGTGGAACATCGCTCGTTGTTCTACCTTATGTTATTTTTTGTACTACATTGATATTGATTACTGCATTGTTGGGTTTAGCGCTTGCAAGAAAGGCATTTCACTGTACTTGTGTAGATTACATTAAAACTTGAAAATGAGTGTAATTACAGGAGTGAAAAAGAATGAAATCGTGAAGTTACATGATGAGACATCCCTGGATGCACTCTGCTCTGTGCTCTGTGCTCTGTGCTCTGTGTGTGTGTGCGTGCGTGTGAGTGTGTGTGTGTGTGTAAAGCAATGGAAGCTTGATCAAACACAAATAGATGTCTGCTAATGCTCTGCTGCCATCTGCTGGGCAATCTAATTCACAGCAGCAAAAAAAACACGTGCCTACTGTTCCCATCAGCCCCACGGTATTTTTCACCGGAAGAAATCGTCTGACTCTTCCCTTCTCTTCCTCTTTCCGTCATCGGGGTTTAGGTAGGGGAATGGCGATTTTATTCTCTTCACATAATCCGAGTTAAATCTTGTTTAAAATACTATCATCCTCTCGAAAATGCCCTTAGAACATGTATAATAAACACTGCTAAGTATAGTCGTTGTGTTATTCAAGCGACAAAATGTGATTATTGAGTTTTAATTCTTGGATGAGTGGTGTGTGTCTGTATGGGTGCGCAGTGACATGGCCTGTCGTTTTGGTGTACCTGACAGTAGTTTGTCACTAGCCACCGGTAGCACGATTTTCTGGTTCTGTATTTATCCACGAGCGTAGAGCCGTCGGGCAGTTGCTGTAGAATAGTTCATATAATACCTTACCCAATGTTTCGTTTCATGGTTAGTTTGTAGTTGGAGTAAGTTGTATATCGTAGTGAGTGAGTGAGTTGGCACTGACGTTTTATAGGTAGCTGAGTGGTGTTAGCATGCTAGGAAAATCCACATGCTGGCTGGCAACCTTACAACTACATGCAAGTGTATTGTCCATTTAGTATATTGATCATTTTTCAGTTATCAACAAACCTTTCTTGCAGAACCGGATCCTTACTTGATTTCAGAGTTAGTTGGTTAGCTAGCTAGGTAGATACTGTACATTTCATTAGTAGCTAACTGCGGCAAGTGGCCGGTATTTGTAGTAAAATTGTCTTAACTACATAACGCTACACATTCAATTATGAATGTAGCTTAGCTTGCTATCATGTAGGCTATTGCCAGTATATCTATTGAACTGTACAACTCTCTATACTTTGAGCCTGGCTCTAACAGAATACTCTTATTTGTTTGTTTCCAGTCACGATGGGACGTGTTATCAGGGGACAGAGAAAAGGTGCCGGTTCCGTCTTCAAAGCCCACGTGAAGCACAGAAAAGGTGCAGCTAAACTCAGACACATTGACTTCGCAGAACGTCATGGTTACATCAAGGGAATCGTGAAGGTAAATGCTCTCACAATAGCTTTTGCTGTTAAAATATACAAGGTTTTCTACAAGGTCACATGTTGCGTTTGCCATGCATTGTTTTAAGTAGTTTATTTGGTGTAGCACCATCTGCTTTGGACCTGACTTGATCTTTGTCTCTCTCAGGACATTATCCATGACCCTGGCCGTGGTGCTCCCCTGGCCAAGGTGGCTTTCCGTGACCCCTACCGGTTCAAGAAGAGGACGGAGCTGTTCATTGCTGCTGAGGGCATCCACACCGGACAGTTCATCTACTGTGGCAAGAAGGGTAAGGAATGAAGATAGACACAGGGTTGTTAGTATGTGTCAAACATACTAATGCTATGCTGGTTAGATGGCACTTGTCTTCTCTTCTAGGATATTTTATCCCACTACAATGTGAATAACTGGTACCTTAATAACAATATCCCCCCTCTCAGCTCAGCTGAACATTGGTAATGTCCTGCCCGTGGGCACCATGCCTGAGGGAACCATCATCTGCTGCCTGGAGGAGAAGCCTGGCGACAGGGGCAAGCTGGCCAGGGCGTCCGGGAACTACGCCACAGTCATCTCCCACAACCCAGAGACCAAGAAGTCCAGAGTCAAGCTTCCCTCTGGCTCCAAGAAGGTCATTGCATCCGCAAACAGAGCTGTCGTTGGTAAGAACACAGGATATGACATGTTTTGCTCTGTGTATGTTAGCTGAAGGTTTCAGAGAAGATGGTTCCTGATTAATGGCGAGAGGTGGACGCATTACCTACATTTTGATCTTTGACTACAAACGTTTGACATTGATGCTTTGGTGTGGTCAGTGGAATGTTGTTTTGATGTACCTTATGTTAATCTGTAGATAGTTTCTCATAAACTGGGTCCAATGTAAAGTTTGGTCTGTCAAATTAACTACCATCTCTTGAATCATTGAAACGGAAGGAATCAGCTCTGATTTCCAGCTGCACTGTATGCACAGTGTTTTGGATGGATGTGATGACTGGTCGTTTATTTGCGAAGTTTGTAGGCAGATAGTTTAGCTAGAGACCAGAAAACTTAAGTGGCTACAATTCTGATTTGCTGTTCAGAATACAGGTCTGCTACAAGTCATCGCATGTGACATGGTTGCTTTCAGAGCATATTGGCTGGGTAGGGAATCCTGTCCTACTGTCCACCTGCGTAATGGTTCTCTCTCCTCTGGGCATCAGGTGTGGTTGCCGGAGGTGGACGTATTGACAAGCCCATCCTGAAGGCCGGTCGTGCCTACCACAAGTACAAGGCCAAGAGGAACTCCTGGCCACGTGTTCGTGGTGTGGCCATGAACGTAAGTGGACATTTCATCTTCTGCATATTTCTTTTTGGGTAGGTTCAGGTATTTTTCATCCAACCCAATGTTTAAGGTTCAATTTGGATCTTAAAAGTTATACCTCAAGTGGTTATTTTTCCAGAGATAGTTTCTTCTCTGTACCTGATGTACCTCAAAAGGTATGTAAATGGCCCTTTGCTGACATGTTTCTTCCCTCTTTCTAGCCCGTTGAACATCCCTTCGGTGGTGGTAACCACCAGCATATAGGCAAACCCTCAACTATAAGGAGGGATGCACCCGCTGGTCGCAAGGTCGGTCTCATTGCTGCCCGTCGTACAGGCAGACTGCGTGGAACAAAGACCGTCACGGAGAAGGAGAACTAACTCCCTTTACAATAAAATATGTTCCAAGGAAGCTGACCTGTGACTCCTTTTTGTAGCGGCAGTGTTTAATGGTAACCATTGAGTTTGTTGCACCAGAGTTGGAAACGAGGACTCGCTAATAGTGAACTTGGTTGAATGGAATTAGGTTGGAGCAGCTGAAATCTCTGCTGCTGATTTTGGTAGCACTCACCTAGCTTCTAAAAGTGAGGGTTACATTTTATAGATGTGTAGTAGATTTAAGTGTGCGGTTCAGATGGGGCCAGATCACCATTAGTCTGCTTAATGGTGTGAAATATTATCCAAATCGCACATTTACAATTTGTTTACCACCGAACAATGAAAGACTAGTGAATCCTTTTCAGTGAAGTTGTAGACATTCATACATCGTTAAATACTGTAGGGGGAGCTTAATCATGCAGACCGATGGAGGAAAACGATGACTGGACCCGATGTAGTGACTTACAGTACACCGCATTTTATAGGCCTGAGTTCAATACACTGCAAAGCATGAATGATCCTGCATGTCTACTGGTTCTCAAGCTGCCTATAGGTGTTGGAGTTGGCCTAAAATGTGCCTATGTGCATAATGTTTGCATGAATACAAGAGACAGTCAAGATTCCATGTTCTTTATTTGCTAAGGGTGCAATGCTTTTTTAAATTTATATTTCTGTGCACAAAAAACCTCAAAGTTCACATCGCGACTGTAGCTCCAGAATTCAACGTCACACCATGGCCAAAACAAAAGTCGGCAAAAAACTGGGCGCAGAACTCTGTACAGTCAATATCTCCTTTAAAAATAACACTAAGGACAAATGTTCCTCTTAAATCAAATTCTATTTTTTTAGTGAAATACAACAAAATAAATTCTATAAAATAAGAGCAAAATATTTAAATATAATACGGTGGGCAGAATATTTATTTGCAGGAGTATTTGGTATTTTTGACAAATCCAAAAAATACACGTTCAAGTTACCAATTAAATACAGTATTTACTGAGGTTTACATTTATCTCCTAAAGAATTACTTAGCTCAAGTTGCAACATGACTAACCAGACGATATCTTATGGTACAACCCTGCTGTGGGCCCATTCTCCATGGAGGGAGAGGTCTCAGATGCTGCGGCCCAGGATCGCTGGGCTGCCTGGTGAGCTCCATGAAAGAATGGAAGCGGTCAGGCGTTTGTCTAAGACTCTACCAAAAAGAGAAGCAAACCACACCGTCTAGTACACACCAGGTAGCCTGGCAGAGCAAATCTGTTGCATGTGGTTTTTATTTTTCTTAATTCCTATAGGTGAAAACTATGCTGCATCTCACCCAAAACTGACTGCCGAATGTGAAGTTGGAAGATTATAACAATGCAATTGAAAAGCCACTTAATCTTACATTGGTTCAAAATACCGCCCTTAACAAGGGGTAGATGAGTGTAAAAAAAAAAAAAAAAAAGCCTAAATGAAGTGTCCTCTGTAGGATTAAGGACGACAACTGTCAGTTGGTATGATCACATCTTCCCTTGAGCTACGCTATTCTGGTGAGAAGCCATGCTAAATGTTACAGCATATTAACTAGAGCTTCCAAAAGGTTTGAATTAAATTACCAGAACAAAAAAAAAGGCAATGAGAGTTCCAGAACAATTTTGCATCACCACTTTTTCACATCAACCAAAACACCGTAAAAGTTCACCCAACCATTCCACGTCTCACACTAAAACCAACCCCAGCTCGTGAGTTGATTTGGCATGGGTCAAGAGGTTGCCAAGGAGCTTAATAATAATAATATAATAATGTGTCCTCCTAAAGGTGATTGACCAGTAACTGATGTCAGACCAAATCGCACTGCTGAGCATGGGTGATAAAACAAAAAGGAGTTCTCTTAAGCATTTTATTTTTTTGTTATCTCCCAACAGCAAACCTGACAAAGTTACGCTATTGCGTGGGATTCATTTTTTGAACAGTCAAAACATGAACATATTATGTACACCTTTTCGTCATGTAGACAAGCGCATCAGCATCGTCAGGCCTGGGTAATTTTTTATGTTTATTACAACACTATCCACTCCCCCTCTGCAGTCGACAGCAGCCAGGCCCCAGTCTGCAGGGAGAGCGCCCCCCCAAGACAGGCAGCACTGTAGCAGGGGGGGGGGGCTTGGGAGGAGCTGTGAAGCCTGGCCCTACCCTGCCCTTGAGGCCCCAGAGAGAGAGAGAGTGTCCCGATCAGGAGCTCGGTCGGTCGACTGGAGGACGAGAGGAAAGAGAGAGCAGGACGATGGAGGCTGGAGGCACAGCAGAGGGGAGGGCCGGTGTTACTCTTTAGGCGGAGCAGGGGCCGAGGAGGTGGTGGAGGTGGAAGGGACCTCCTCAGTGCTCTCCCAGTTGTCTTGTGCTTGTGGCCCTGTGCCGGGGGCAGGGCCTGGGACTGAGGCAGGGTTAGAGGAAGGGACAGGGCTGGGGCGCTGGGGGTTGTTCATGTGCTGGGCAGCTGGGCCTGTGTACGGCTGCCCGTGGGGGTGGTTGTTCTGCTGGGGAATGAGAAAACGATCCGTTTTTAGTGAAACTACTGATGTACGGTGGAACTTGACACAAAATATCTGCCATTGGTTCTTCATTTGTTTAGAAGCCTCTGTTTACATGGATCCAAAAAAGTCAAAAGATCATGCTGCTTCTACAGTATAGTGTGTGGGTGTGTACCTGCTGAAACTGTGTTGTAGTCCCCGGAGACGAATGAGGGTAGAGGGAGATGTCGTCTGGAGGGGAGGTGTCCTGATCTTCAGGGGCTTCCTGGTCATCGGGCTCCTGGGAAATGAAGTCAAAGAATAGTTGTATTCCCAAAGCATTTTTCTACCTAACAACAACATTCACACAGCTCAAGTCTATGGACCCAATAGCAGACCAAAGAGTCTCTTAATATGCCTTTGCACTGGATCGGAACGTTGTCCTACTTAAGCCTATTTTAACTGAATGAGATGAAAGAGACGCACACGCTGTGTAGGAGAGTGTGACAGCCTTGGATGTTCTAATATCAACTGATGGAGGTATAAATAGAAAAGAGACTTCGTTATGTGAGTGGGTGTTATTCTCCGCAAGCGAGCTTCTCCACAGTGTGGTGGGAGACATGCTTTTAATGAGCTCATGTTTCCATATAACATCTAAGGTTCTGGGGCCAGAGCTGTTCTTATAATGTTTATGGGCTAATTTGCTGGGTCTAATACTAGATGCAAATGCACTGGATCCGAGAAAAACTGAAGGATTTATACACACTGCTTTCAGTTTGTTCTATCCATGATAGTTCTTTGGCGGTTAGGCCAGCGTTATCTTTAGACTAGCATCTTTGTGCTTGGATCAATCAGATCAACTGGCCCTGTGTCTGTGTATCATGATTCGGTCTGCTTATAAAGACAGACTGACACACTACAACATACAGCTGAACACATTGCAACGTGTGACCAGACAAACCAGGGATGGAGAACAGCTTGTGTGTTAGTCTAAGTGGGGTAGAGGTAGATTCATGATATAACACAAACGTATTGTACTGTAAATGTGTCTGAAAACATGCACTCAATACTGCTACAGGCCCCTATCGTAATCCTACAATAACCTGTGGGTGAAGTAGGTGCTGCCTATCATCAATTAAACTTGTGGTCCAAATACCAACTTTTTCTAAACTAGTGGTTCCATCTGTCCAGATTTATTCTAAAATTGGACACGCATATATATGGGTTACAATTCTAACTGTATGCAAGGCAAAGTTTCCGATTAAAACAATCAACAATAAGACGTGAACTGTTCAATGAGTCCTGTTGATTAGCCATATATTAACACATGCAATTACATGGCTGACGCACAAACCACAGGTTGCCCCTATGTAGACCTAGTCTCAACACAAAAACATCACTTGAACACACAGTAAGTACACTACACGTCATCAACACAAGGCTAGCACCTCATCATCCACTATAGCCAAGGCTAAGAGTCTTCCATCAGTTGTGTCATATGGCCGGCCACACCGCAGGTTGACTTTTCTTTGGGGAGGAGGAACAAACAGCTTTGATTGGATAAACAGTGTTACGTTGAGATGGAGAACCAATTAAACCAAAGGGAAGCCAGGAAGTCAGTGCTGCTTTAGGTAACCAATGGGACACTGCTACCGGACTGGAAAGAGGAAATGTTTGCTCACCGTTTGACTGTGTCTGTATTGTTACTACTGCCCAGGCTACTCTGCTCGTGGACAGACACTACTAACATAGCCCTGTATGGAACACCTAGTGAGAAGACAGAGTGGAGGAGGAGGGTGCCTGTGGCTGGGGGGGAGGGGGAGGGGGTATATATGAGGGCTTACAGTGTGCTGCTGTCCTGTCCCTTCCCCTGGCAAAAGCTGCTGTGGCGAGGACGATTTCCGCATGGCAGCATCTTCTTCAGACACCGCCTCACCGTGCTTCGTTAAGTGACACTAGTTTGAAATGGCATAATTGATATCACTGCATTATATATACACAAGTGTCAATAAACGATGCATTCAGGTGGATTTCTTAGTTTAAAAAAAAAGTTTTCAAGTAGCATGTCATTTTATTTCTATCATATTGCTATTTATAATAAGGATAAGTTAGGCAAATACAACTTTGTAACACAAATAAGGGAAATTATAGAAAAAAGTATTATAATACTTATCAACATGTTAGCTTACATTTGTATACACTATGGGCGTATAAACTGGAAATAACATTTGTCGAAAACTCAAAGCCCTACCTACCTATAGTAAAAACACGCATAAATTCTGAAGATTACAAAAATACTTAAGAAATCATATTCCAGCAGGTAACAGCTTTCTAATCCAAAATAACCTTAGCGCTAACTTGGAACTCTCAACTGGAGCTTAAAAAATATTAAGTTCAAGTATATTTGATTGTACAACGCCTAACACTTGAAAAAAACCTGAGACAAGAGAAGAGTGAAAAACAGATGGTTAGCATTAACATGTTAACCATACATCACATGACAAAGAAAATAGTATAGTTTATGTATTGCTGCATAATGAAGTTCCACATAATCAACACTGCTCTGTTTTACAAATTCATGAACACTATTATTACAACATGCAAGCTCCTCGTCTCCACATTACATCATTTTAACTCTGTAGGTCAAAACCAACAAGGTCAGAATGGTGAATCCTTCCAAAAAGACACCACTTTTTTGGGGGGGACTTTCAATACTGACCTCTCTACTTCAACTACTACCATTTTGGCCATGCATCCGTGTTAGATACTACTGTATTACCTTTGTGTTGTATGTGTGTGTCGTATAGTGTGTGTGTGCTCGCGCATCATTTGGTGTGAGTGTTACCTCCTCAGGGCAGAGTTCGCAGGCCTTGGCCAGGGTCATGCGTGCAGAGTGCGAGCGCTCCAGGAAGTATCCGTTGGAGGTCTCGTTGCTCTGGACTGGGGGAGACCAGTTGTTGTAGGTGTACTGGGGGTTCCCTGTGTAGGGCCTCCTCTCCAGCTCGTCACCCAGCCACTCCACTGCCCACGTCCACTTACGCTTCAGGTCCCCGTTACTCTGCAGGACAGAGAAACACACACGATTACTAAGAGTGCTTATGAATGACCTTTTCCCTTCCATTGCAATTATGAATCCTGAAATTATGATTTCATTTTTTCAATACAGAAAATCATAAATTAAGGGTTATTTACAGAATCTTCTCTGTGCCTTAATTCGGCTTCATAAAATGACTCCTAGATTCAGACTAGGGATGGGCATTTGACGTTCAATTGAAATAAATAAATTAGGCCCTAATCTATGGGCAGGGGCACAGCCATGGGTGGGTCTGGGAGGGCACAGGCCCACCCACTGGGGAGCCAGGTCCAGCCAAACAGAATGAGTTTTTCCCCACAAAGGGCTTTATTACAGACAGAAATACTCCTCAGTTTCATCAGCTGTCCGGGTGGCTGGTCTCAGACGATCCCGCAGGTGTGGAGGTCCTGGGCTGGCGTGGTTACACATGGTCTGCGGTTGTGAGGCCGGTCGGACGTACTGCCAAATTCTCTAAAACGACGTTGGAGGCGGCTTATGATAGAGAAATGAACATTACATTCTCTGGCAACAGCTCTGGTGGTCATTCCTGCAGACAGCATGCCAATTGCGCGCTCCTTCAAAACTTGAGACATCTGTGGCATTGTGTTGTGTGACAAAACTGCACATTTTAGAGTGGCCTCTTATTGTCCCCAGCACAAGGTGCACCTGTGTAATGATTATTCTGTTTAATCAGCTTCTTGATATGCCAACCCTGTCAGGTGGATGGATTATCTTGGCAAAGGAGAAAAGCTCACTAACAAGGATGTAAACAAATGTGCACAAAATTTGAGAGAAATAAGCTTGGGATCCTTTACTTCAGCTCATGAAACATGGGACCAACACTTTACATGTTGTTCAGTATAGAACACAAGGCCCATATTTTTAGAACACAAGGCCCGCAAAAAATAAATAAAACGCATTTATCTATAGGCCTATGCCAACAATACCTAATTTATCTAACCATTACAGATCAATCCTAATTGCTCAATTGCCCCATATATACAGTGTACAAAACATTAGGAACACCTGCTCTTTCCATGACATGGACTGACCAGGTGAATCCAGGGGAAAGCTATGATCCCAGCTCTTAAAACCACTTAAATCAGTGTAGATGAAGGGGAGGAGACAGGTTAAAGAAGGATTTTTAAGCCTCGAGACAATTGAGACGTGGATTGTGTATGTGTGCCATTCAGAGGGTGAATGGGCAAGACAAAAGATTTAAGTGCTTTTGAACGGGGTACGGTAGTAGGTGCCAGGCGCACTGGTTTGAGTGTGTGAAGAACTGCAACGCTGTTTTTCAAGCTCAACAGTTTCCCGTGTGTTTCAATAACATTCCACCACCCAAAGGACATCTAGCAAACTTGACACAACTGTGGGAAGCATTGGAGTCAACGTGGGCCAGCATCCCTGTGGAACGCTCGACACCTTGTAGTCCATGTCCCGATGAACTGAGGCTGTTCTGAGGGCAAAAGGAGGTGCAACTCAATATTAGGAAGGTGTTCCTAATGTTTTGTACACTGTGTATATTCAGTCAATAAAAAAGCAAGTGCTATTTAAAGATGCACTATGCAGAAATTCGCTCTGCCATTTCCTGGTTGTTAAAATACGAATAGTAATTTCAGTTTGTGACAAAACAAGCAAGTATAGTGTATCGAAATTTGTACTAATTAAGTATTCAACCCCTTTGTTATGGCAAGTCTAAATATGTTCAGGAGTACAAATTTGCTTAACAAGTCACATAATAAGTTGCATGGACTCACTGTGTGCAATAATAGTGTTTAACATGATTTTTGAATGACTACCTCATCTTTGTACCCCACACATACAATGATCTGTAAGGTCCCTCAGTCGAGCAGTGAATTTCAAACAGATTTAACCACAAAGACCAGGGAGGTTTTCCAATGCCTCGAAGGGCAGCCATTGGTAGATGGGTAAAAAATTATAAAAAAACAGACATTGAATATCCCTTTGAGCATGGTGAAGTTATTAACTACACTTTGGATGGTGTATTAATACACCCAGTCACTACAAAGATACAGGCGTCCTTCCCAACTCAGTGGTCATAGAGGAAGGAAACCGCTCATGGATTTCACCATAAGGCCAATGGTGACTTTAAAACAGTTAGAGTTAATGGCTGTGAAATTAGAAAACTGAGGATGGATCAACACCATTGTAGTTACTCCACAACAGTAACCTCATTGACAGAGTGAAAAGAAGGAAGCCTGTACAGAATAAAAATATTCCAAAACATGCATCCTGTTTGCAACAAGGCACTAAAGCAATACTGCAAAAAATGTAACTTTTTGTCCTTAATACAAAGTGTTATGTTTGGGGCAAATCCAATAACACATTACTGAGTACCACTCTCCATATTTTCAAGCATAGTGGTGGCTGCATCATGTTATGGGTATGCTTGTAATCGTTAAGGACTGGGGAGTTTTTCAGGATAAAAAATAAACGGAATGGAGCTAAGCACAGGCAAAATCCTAGAGGAAAACCTGGTTCAGTCTGCTTTCCACCAGACACTGGGAGATGAATTCACCTTTCAGCAGGACAATAACCTAAAACACAAGAGCAAATCTACACTGGAGTTGCTTACCAAGAAGACAGTGAATGTTCTTGAGAGGCCGAGTTACAGTTTTTGACTTAAAAATCTATGGCATGACCTGAAAATGGTCAACAACCATTGACAGAGCTTGAAGAATTTTGAAAAAATCCAGGTGTGGAAAGCTCTGAGACTTACCCAGAAAGACTGAACTGTATTCACTGCCAAAGGTGCTTCTACAAAGTATTGACTCAGGGGTGTGAATACTTATGTAAATTACATATTTCTGTATTTCTTTATCAATACATTTGAAAACATTTCTAAAAACATTTTTTCACTGTTATTATGAGGTATTGTGTGTAGATGGGCAAGATTTTTTGTTGTTGTTGAAATTATTTTGAATTCAGGCTGTAACAAGAAAATGTGGAATAAGTCAAGGGGTATGAATAACTTCTGAATGCACTATATTATAGCAAAAAAAACATGATGTAATATAACAGAATAAAATATAACAGAATATTTTTCAAAATGAAAAAAGTTGCCAGTGTGAAGTGATCCGCAATCTCGCATCTGGAACTGTTATTCTCAAACAGTGATCATTTGAAACAGGGCTGAATTTGGCGAGTTGAAATAATTTTTTCAGGGTTACATATACAGACGTTCAATTTAGTTTATTCTGCCTGTTCTTTGGAATTTTCCCAAAATGGATTAACAATTCCACTTTGAACACTGCATGGTGATGAATTACGGCCACGACATCTGTTTGGTGAGTAGTCCCCTGTAGCTCAGTTGGTAAAGCATGGCGCTTGCAACGCCAGGGTTGTGGGTTCGTTTCCCACGGGGGGCCAGTATGAAAAATGTACGCACTCACTAACTGTAAGTCGCTCTGGATAAGAGCGTCTGCTAAATGACTAAAATGTAAATGTAGGCCTATGCTTAATGATTCTGATGAAAATATGCTCTTTCTTTATAAACTAATGTTTTTGCGTATTTTCAGTATGGAACCTGTCTATGTTTCGGGGGGTTATAGCCTAGGCTAACCAATTCTATACTAGCACTTCGCAAAGTAGCCTAAGCAGAAAATAGACGGGACGCAATTATTCCAAAACTGCTGCTTGTTATTGGAACACATATTTTCCTACGTCAATCAGCCAGTCCATTTTGAATTTGTGATAAAGCTGTAGTCATTTGGCAAGTAATGTAGGTTGTGTATCCCATCAGTTAGATTCGTTTTTATAGGCATTTCTTTATGTAGGCCTAATGGGATCTTGTGTGTGCACTCAGCATGTGTGTGTGTAGGGAGCAGTCAGAACGAAATTGAGTGAATGACACACGGTGAGGAAAGGGACATTAGGCAGAAGAATTGTGTAATGCTTGGCTTGGTTTCTTTTTTGTTGTGCCCCGCAAATGCACATGTACAAATGGAACACCAGAGTCAAAGCAAATTAATGTTGTCTTCAAGACAAAATTTAACTTGCCCATTCAGGCAGCCACAAAGCATATTCCACCAAATAGTTTTACAGTGTTAGATTTTTTGGGGGGATCTTTGGTTCAAGATCGAGCTTTGACATCTGTTCGAGTACTCGATTACTCATACCCATCCCTAATTCAGATGGTGGCATAGTGTAGTTGTCTCTATTGTACCTGTAGTATCTGGTAGGCCACAGAACAGTTGCTGAAGAGGGCCACCATGCATTTGATACACTGGTAGGCCCGTTTCTGGTAGTGGTTCTTGGAGCGCTGGATGGTGTCAAACAGGCCGTCCCTGTCATCTGGTATACCCTTCAGCACGTTGTGGATCCTACACAACCAGGCAGGGAGAGAAAAAACAGAACAGGGATGATGTTAGCACAACAGAAAATCAACCAGAGAGGAAAATCCAACCAGGGAAACCAGCCATTCCTAGAGGGCCACAGGGTGTGCAGCTTTTGTCCCAGCCCAGCACTAACCACAAGTCTGATGGAGTTGAATCAGATGTGTTGGCATTAGAGGTGTCAAATTATTAAAATAATTTTAAGTCGAGGTAATAGTATTAGTTAATCATGATTTTTGAATTTGCTCAAATTTGGCCCTAGAGAAAGGGCCAAATTCAATTTAAAAAGCAGTGCATTGAGTTACAGGCATACAGTGGGGGAAAAAAGTATTTAGTCAGCCACCAATTGTGCAAGTTCTCCCACTTAAAAAGATGAGAGAGGCCTGTAATTTTCATCATTAGGTACACGTCAACTATGACAGACAAATTGAGAATTTTTTTCTCTAGAAAATCACATTGTAGGATTTTTAATGAATTTATTTGCAAATTATGGTGGAAAATAAGTATTTGGTCACCTACAAACAAGCAAGATTTCTGGCTCTCACAGACCTGTAACTTCTTTAAGAGGCTCCTCTGTCCTCCACTCGTTACCTGTATTAATGGCACCTGTTTGAACTTGTTATCAGTATAAAAGACACCTGTCCACAACCTCAAACAGTCACACTCCAAACTCCACTATGGCCAAGACCA